GTTGCTGATGGGACGCCCTTTGAATGCTTGGGATCTTCAGCCTTCACAGCGAGACACCGCAAGGAGTGGAGCGGAGACTCTCGACCCCAAGCCCCACCACGAATCTGCGGCCAGAGCACTTCTGATAGAGAAGCTCTAACTCATTGCCCACAGCGACCTTTGCAGCCGACTGCCGCCGTCAGCTCTAGGGTCTCTAGATGGAGTCCACGGATTTTGAAACATGGGGCAAAGGGGTGAATGCGCATGGTTTAGGATTCAGCTGCTTATGAACGTCTGTGGCTTCAGCTCATGAACTTACAGGCAAAGGTGTTCCTCCCCTGCGATTCTTTTGTGTAGGGTCCAGCAAACAGGCTGCAATGCCTCCTCCCACTTGTCAAAGTCTGAAAAAGCATTCAGGGACTGCCCCAACCGCTTCAAGGTGGCTTAGGTTCTTTTGGTCTCGAAGCGGTGATTCTGAGGACCAGAACCTCGCGTGTCACCGAGCCACTCCCATCACGTGGTCGCGGCCCAGCTTCTGCAAAAGCTCCTCTTCGACCGAGGGATGATGAAAGACCATCATAAGAACGGCGGATTTAACGATGATTCAGCATGAGGCCTCTAATACGAAGACAATCGAAACGGAGACATTACGCCATTACACCTCTCAGACTTGAACTTCTCTGTCTAAGCCGCACACATAATGAATAAACTGATGAAACTGCTTCCCGCCAGAGTTTCATCATGTGGAACCATATGCCACCTTGTAATCGAAGCCTGTACCCCCCAAATCCTGCAGCCTAACACGGCCTCTCATCGAACTTGCTTCTCACGAACTGAGCATGGAAGCCAACTCTAACACTTGTGATCCTACCATGAAACACACTACCAGCACCTGGACCCCGTGATGGCCAAGACTCCACGGCCCACCAAAAACCGTAACTGACCTCATAAACCCCCAACCACAACCCTAAGCCCACAGCCCTCGACCGTCACACCGTTACAAGCAACCCCCATATCCTTGACCAAGCGCCAGTCTCGCTCGTCATCTGCCTCGTCGCATGTGATCTGCGTTCCCACCAGGACCTGGAAGGACTGAGTCTGGAGCTTGCTGGGCAGTTTAGGATCAAAATGCTTGAGGTTTCTTGGTTTAGAGTTTTGTGGCTGAAGCGTTTATACTGCTAGCGCTTCGCTGGGCTATGTACGCATCGTCCCGAAGCAACCACTTGGGTGATGGTTCATTTTCCTGCATCCCCCAACATTCCTGCAGTCTCTGCTGCCTTTCTGCAATCGGGGATGCCGACCTTTCGCCTTTACGCGATCAGAGGCTTGTTGTGAGGAAAGGAGAAGCCCTGCCGGAATCGCGGCACCCTTGGACCATGGACAAGATCCGGAAAGCAACCAAACACGGCCCAGCCTCCAAATCCCAGTGAGCCGGAGCTTAGGCTCAAGGTCTCACACATAAGTCTCGGGCCAGCTTTGGGAGGACTTCGAGAGGACCGGCAGCTCCCAAGGCGGACATGCCGCACACTGACACCTTCAGCCCAAAACCCTAACAGCTGACGCCTTGGGCCAAAACAAGCAAGTCCTCGAACCCCCCAATCAATGAGGGGCCCTACGTGAAACCTGAAGCCCTAAATAACCAACTCCCCTCTCTGAACCCGAAACCCAATATAAATTCCGGAGGCCCCTGGCCTTGATGCCGTTGGCTTTCACAACATCCAGGAGCTGCGCCCAAGCCGCTTCTCGGGCGCCATCCGGCCAGGCCTCTCTCGAATGAGGCTCCATTTTAGGGCCTAGAGAACTTCGGACTTTTGGGGCATTTTTCGACCCTTTGTCGCAGGATTTAACGTGAATCCAAAGGTTTAGAATGTAGGGAGGTGGATCAGGGCCTAAGCAGAGAGTTCGTGCGCTTTACGGGAGACTCAAGAACTTCAGGGTCTTCCAATCTCTGGCTGAGTCTTGAGGATGCCGGGCATAGGGGGAAACTTGCCCCAAACCTGGCTCCTTTTTGAGGGCTAATCATGAGTGGGGTTGTGGGGTGTGTAAAAAGCATGCTGAAGTGGGGACTGCGAAAACCATTGCACATCAGCCCGACCAAACCGATAATTCCGGGAAGGCGGCCATGTCCCACGCTTTGAAGAGCCGGATGGACGTCAGCTTTTCCTGCGGATGAGTTTGCGGAATTTCGGAAGACATCCGTAGCTTTTTACGTCGTCTCCGTGCTTCTGGAGTCGCAGGGCTTGGGTTTGAGGTTTTGGCTTTACTTACCGTAAACTGAAAAATGCAACTCGAGGTTCAACCCGGAACTGGAAGCGACGCACTCACCATGCAGGACACCTCGAGGAAATCAGACACTTGCGCGATATCTCGCTCACCGACCTGCGATGTACTCGCGAACCTAGATGCTTGAAGAGCTCTTGATAACATCATTCCTTGGGGTTCCTGACCATGTTTTTTCAAATTAAGGACCCGTGAAACCCTGCAATGCTAGAATCATCTCCGGAGCCACCAGTGAAGATGCAGAAAGCCAACAGCCTGTCCTGCGTGTTGGGCCAAACTCCTTCGTTGCAGCTGCTTGCTGGCGTTTCCAGGGAAACCCGGTTGTGAGATTCATTGAGAATTGGTAGAAAAGCATGAGGGGCTGAACGAAACCGACTCTCCCTCGTTCTCCCAACCGGAGCCTACTGCTGCCAGGAGTCTTGGGATGCCACCGGAGCATTTCTGAAAGGTCGTGTCGTCTATAGCCAGGCCTTGACCGGTGCTGGCGATTGGCTTGGACACCATAGCGTGCTCGACGCGGCTCTCTGCCATTTGATACATCTTCCGTGGGAGGGTCACGGGTAGTTGGAGAGGTTCTCCAAACAGGCGTCCCTCCTCTTGGGGTCCCAAAATCGTACATCGTTCTTATGCTGAAAGCCCGAATCCAATCAGGGAAGAGAACCCAACACAGGAGTCTTGCTCAGTAGCGCTTCTTGTTCGGCTGAATTGTGTTTTACGAGTTCTAGCTCAGAAGCTTAGAAGACAGCCGCAAGTCTGAAGCTCCATGCTGTTGCGGGGCTTCTTCCGCCACTGCACCGTGCAGAAGCAAGAATCGTAAGACTTAAGGCTGTGGTGGACAACCCTCTTAGCAGCCCTATGACCTATGATGTCTCCCTGTCCCGGCCTTTGTGATCTGCTTTGACCATGCGCGACAGGAAGAGATCGCTGTCGCACTTGTAAGGCTCTGCCTTAGCTAGGACCCACAAAAGCAGATGAGAAGAGTCCCATTTGGTTTGGGACCGTTTAAGCGAGATCCTACTGCTTCTGTTTGGAGAGCTCTGGGCGTCAAGACGACAGCTTCGACAGGCCTGACCTGATTTCCTTAGGCTCTAAAGCTGGGAATCTGCAGCCGGCTACGGAGGGAGTGGGCCCGTTCCCGGCACCATCCCCGGCGAGCGCGATGGCCACAGACGCGCCGACGGCCGACAGAAGTGCAGCCGCGCAGGCACAGACGGCCTGGAGCGTGGCCGAGGTCCAGTGATACTCAGAGTGACTCGGCGGCTTTCAACTTCGGGATTTACACAGTCTGGGTGGAGGTTCGGGTTGTGGGCACAAGGTTGGCGAGATGAACGCACCCAAAGTGCACTCGCCACAAGCTCCAGGCATCGAGGAAAAAAATCAATCCTGGACTTTTCAAGGCCCTCCACTGCCACGATGCTCTTGCACACAAAAGCACAATCTGGGGAACTCCAGAGCTTCAGGCCTGAAAGCCAAGACTCCGATGAACCTCCCATGAGACGCGTTTCTGAGACGTGGGGGAGGACTTCGCAGCCCAAGAGGCGCCACACTGGCAGACTCCCCGGCGGCCCTCGGAGGCAGGTCGGGGCTTGGCGAAAGCGGAGCGACAGATCCAAGAACTACTCGATGGCTGGTCTAGGATCCGAGAGACAATGGGCCGAGGCAAAAACACGGCCACAGCCAGTCAATTCTTTGAGGCTCCCACCGAAGTTGGCCTTTGTGGCGAAGCTAAAGGCTGCTGCTGTTGGCGCATGGCGGGCAATGCAATGCAGCGCCGGAGGGTTTGGGGGAGATGAGTTCGGGGGTGTCAACAGGTGTCAACTGTGTCTGCAGTTGCTTCTCTTAACTAAGCCTTGGAGCCTTGATAAGAGGAGAGACACCACGGGCTGATGACGATCGAGGTTCGCGAAGCCAGAAGCAATGCACTGATCACACCCTCTCCAGCATCCACGAGAGAGGCGACGAAGCACCCCAACCAAATCAAACTGATGATGTTAATCAGTGTTCTCGTCTTCTCATCGTCAAAACGTTTGTTGTTTCCACTTCAACAACAGACATCTGCATACATCATCATCATGACCACCACCACCACCACCACCACCACCACCACCACCGTTATTATCACCAGCATTATCCTCGCCATCATCACCATCATCACCGCTGTTGTGACGATCACACCGATGGTGGTGATGATGATCATGACGATGATCGTGATGATGGATAATGATGGATATGATGATGATGATGATGGTGATGATGATATGATGATGACGATGATGATGATGATGATGATCATGATTATGATGATGATGATGAGGATGAGGATGAGGATGAGGATGAGGATGATGATGATGATGCTGATGATGGTCATGATCTGGCTATTCCTAGCTTTTACCGCCACTACAGACGGCGACAATGACAACCAATGCTACCGCATTGCAGCAATACCACCACAAGTGATTTCATCTTAGCTGATTGCCATGGTGTGGTCAACATGCCTTGTACGGGTGTCAGAGTCATCCAGAGCAGCCCATCCACGACGAGCACCGTCGCCATCGTAATGTCTATCAATCCTACCGTCCTCGTCATCACTGTCATCTTTACGCTTATCATCCTCCTCATCATCATCATTCTCATCATCGTCACAGTCGTCTTCATCCACCTGGCCATCAGCAACCCAACCCCTACGACGCAACCTTGCAGCTTCAGCTTCTGCTCTTTAACTTGACAGCCCTTGCTTGGGCCTCCCTCTCGATGACGCCATTGTTGGACCGGTCGGCCAGCCGGAACACGGCTAGGCTGCGCTCGACCTGCATAGACTTGCTTGCTGCCCTATTTTCCGTCAGATGGAAGAACAGACACGAAGCCACGAGGAAGACACAGGGTTGAAGCATCAACCAACTCGGCTTCCGAGCCTCGTCTTCACTGCAGCCATACTGGGCGCTAAGGCGGCGAATGATCGAGGGGCTCTGGGCTCCTTCGAACAAAGACGCGTGGATCTTCTTTCCTAGATCAGCGTCTCGGGCGTGAGGTGGAGAGTTGGTGGCTTGAGTTGGGTTTGGCTTTCTTCCTTAGGCCTGCTGCTTGGGCTCAGATTCAATGCAGCCTACCTGAACATGCAGCTTGACAACGGATGACAGCCAGTCTGACAAAGGCACTTCAATTTCAATCCTAAACGTCCAGGAATGCTGGGGCGTTCATAGTTTGAGGGCATAGGGCTAGCCGAAACAAAACCTCGCAGCAGCCCCCCCTAATTGGACCAAACAACTCCTCGTTCAACCTGGTCACAGAAGATAGGATGTGGCGTGAGGGTTTTCGGCTTGGGTTTGGCAGCCTTTTGATGCAGCTCCTAAAGGTCCTAAAGCCCTCAAGGCCCGGCGCCAACAACGCGAGAGCCCCCCTCTTCGCATCGCCTTTGGAGGAAGATGAGCGTAGAATCTGCCTGGCGCATTTCAAAAACATGGAGTATCCACTCCAAGTGAGCATCAAGCCTTGGGTTCGAGAAATCGAGGCAGGGGGCCGGGATTTGTCGGGTGCGAGTTGCGAACACCTGGAGCCTGGGCCAAGACCTCTGAAGTGCTGAGGCAGCTAGGAGATATCTCACTGAATTCTGCGGCATACATCCACATTCACGGCTGATTCGACACTCCAAATGCAGAAGCGAAATCGCTTTGAAATCGCTTCCGGCCAGAACTCCACGTCTTTCCAGCTAAAACAACTGAGGCGGTGCAGGAACATAACACGAGAACAACGGCGTGCTTGCACAGCAAAACCTTCGAGATGCACGCGACTTCGCTGCACTACAGCTGTCGAAAACTGCAGGTGTGGAGGCTCGACAAGCATAACACAGGCCAAGTGGGAGAGTCTGCATGCAAAGGCCCAAGGTAGAACTTACGACCAGGGTCTAGGCGGTGGGAATCTTTGTGGGACGCGAGAACTTGCCGAACACGACTAACCCAGCGGCCTTTTGCACAGCGTCTTCAACTGGTGGTATGAGACTGGTCTTTTTAAAGGGTTGTAGGGAGATGTCCCACCGTGAAGGAAGCATCACATCGGAAGAGACCGTGAGCTGTAAACGAATAGTTTTCAAGCTGCCTACATAAGTGGACAGTCGCCTCAACCCTGGGTCCTGATGGAACTGGGATTCAACGCTTCTGGCTTGAACTGCCTAGGGCGTTGGGCCATGGGAAGCATTAGGGCCTCGAGGATTTGCCGGAGCTTTGACGAGTCACTGGGCCGTGCGAGGCAAAGCACCTTCCTTCTCGTCAGGGGCATGCCCTTACAACCTTTCAGATGGAATATGAGACTTATTCGCACGCAGCACGCGGATTCGGATGGCACCTACCTCTGCGTCTACAAATGTAAACACCAAAATATGAGCCGATCAGGACCTTGATGTTGAGGTTTTCAAAGGATTTTGCCTGGGTTTCGGGAGACCCGCTACAGGGGGTTCCCCTGATCTCGGAAGCAAAAAGAAACCCCTAGAGTTCCAACGCTTGGCCGCGCTCCGCATGCGACAGCCTCAGTCGCAGGGACCCTGAGCAGAGCCGAAGCTGTCATCAGGCACCCTGCAGAGGCATTGCAGAGTTGAAAGTTGCGCAGCGTAAAAAATTCCTTCATACCAGAACCATGACATCAAAAAACCAAGCAACACCCCCCACATCTATGATTTCAAGCATCTAGCAAACGGAACCGATTGAGACTTCTGCCAGCAAGATTTAGCGAGCAGCATCTTTGAGTCTCACTGCTCTGACACATTTCAGATTATTTCAAGGATCCGAGCGGTGGCCGCAACAAAGTAAGAAGGGAACTCAGGAGAGTCGTGCGAAAGAACTTTGGGGTACTATGATCCAAAGCCACCGGCCAAAGCTCTCCAACCTAATACCTGTACAGGGTCCTTGCCGGCCTTACCAGCTGGAACAAGGTTGTAGTATGACTATCTTTATGAGCCCCTAGGTATGATTTAGGTAATTGTTCTGGCCCCTCTATTTGTCTAGGATGCAACGCTTCAGAAGTTGTGAGCAGTAGGACTCCGAGCAAGGTGTTTGGTGATGGTATCTTCTCTGGATTGGAACTACGACGGACTTGAACATGTTGCGTGGCACCGTTCGAAGATTGCTCCCAACAGCCAGATAAGGCGGGGGAGCACAGTAAAAGCTTTGGCTGGCAGGAAAAGTCGGTATGAGATTATTTCGAGCATGCATGTGACGCATGTTGCTGCAAATGCTGCGGCTTTCATGCACACGGAAACGTTGGCAGCAGCAATTGCACACTCATCAGTCTTTAAACCCGACATGCGGTCTCCACACGGCCTCAGCCGTGGTCCGTGTCTCACCACAGTGATACGCTGATCTCCTTGGTCACCACGGCACAGAAAAAGCCGCTCTGGAAGTTGGCCTCTGCGAAGAGCAGAGACTCCGTTGTGGGGGTTGGGGGGGGGTCTTTCGAAGGCCTCGGCCATTCAACTCATTGGAACAAGCTCATGACGACTGGATGGGACTTGTGAGTAGGGGACCCTTGGGGCTCCCACACCCACCTGCGGAGCCGACAGTGCTGAACGTCAGAACCCCAACCCCGGGCGCCTGCGCTGTCAGATCGAACAGACCGTCCAAGCACACCTCCGCGAAGCCCACAACACCTGGCACACGCGGCGATCACAGGACGTAATCTCAGACTCCCCTTGTCACGCCCTTCGGAGATGTCGGAGGTCCGAAACACAGACTCTCGCGCGTACAAGCGACGACGACAGCTGCTACCTCCCACACCTACGAGGAATAGGACGACGCCTCTTGTCCCTGCTGCCCCCGACTTCACAAAGCCCGGTAGCTTTCGCACCTTCCGGGGCTGAGACCACGAAGTGCAAGCGCAAGGTGTTCAAGTCCACTGTCAAGGTCAGGCCTGAGGGTCGCTTGAAATCCTGAGGTATGCTTTGCTTTGGAAGAAAGCTGCTTTCCTTGAAGACTGGAGGTTTGGTGCCTCTTTAGGCGTCAGGTTCATCCGAAACGCAGGCACCACAGCCCTCGACGGAAGCTGATTTTGGCTCCTACTGTAACACCCTCAGCAAAGTCAGGAGGTTCTGCTTGGGTTTCAGATCTGAAGGCTAAAGCCCCTCTGCCAGCACAGGGGCTTAACATTGCATTTGGTCCTGGTCAGGTGCTGTCGGAAGCATCTGCAGCAACGGAGAGGTCCGTCTATCTTTCGATTATCTTAACCCCAATATTTGGTCCGCAGCCTTCAGGAGCCTTCAGGGTTTTGAATTTGAACTTGCCAGCACTGATGCATATTTCTTCGTTCATGTTACGCGGTGCCTTCGATGATTCAACACAGCGGAAACTGCTGCACTGTGCTAACATCGCCGCCCGAGGCAGCATCGCCCCAAGTCACGATACATCCATCACTAAGGACAGCTGGGAATGCGCTGTCTGTTTTGTAAACCTGCTGCGCGTTCTTCAGCTGGTTCTGCACGGCACTGCAGTCGCCACCGCGCACAGCATCTCACCAGGTCACAATAGACCCATCGACAAGGAGAGCAGCAAAAGCGCTGCCGGCGTACTGGACGTTCCTGTGCTGATCCCGCATGGCACTACTGTCACCACCAGCTTCAGCACTACCACTTCACAACAGATCCATCGCTCAGAATGGCAGCAAAAGCGCCGCCAGAGCCTTTGGTCTGCTGCACGCTCTTCAGCTGATCCTGCACAGCACTGCTGTCACCACCGTCGTCAGCGATACCCCAGGTCGCAACGGATCCACTGCCAAGAACGGCAGCAAAAGCTTCGCCTGCACATGTGATCTGCTGCACGTTTTTGAGCTCATTCTGCGCCCCACTGCTGTCACCACCTTCGGCATCACCCGAGGTGACAACAGATTCATCACCAAGAATTGCAGCAAAAGCGCCGTAATGAGAGCCATGGATTCGCTGCACATTTTTCAGGCTGATGCTGCACAGCGCCGCTCGCACACGCACGCACGCACGCACGCCCACAGAGAGAGAGAGAGAGAGAGAGAGAGAGACACACACACACACAGAGACACACACACACACGCATATATGAGCGCACTCACACACACACACAACAGGACGACAAGAAAAACTACCATAGCTGACAAGCCACACCATGAAATTGTTGAAACGATGATGATGAGGATGATGATGATGATGAGGAGGAGGAGGAGGAGGATGAGGATGATGATGATGAGGATCATGAGCATGCTGAGGAGGCTGAAAATGAGGATGATGCTGATGGTGGTGGTGGTGGTGATGATGATGCTGGTGATGGTGATGCTGGTGATGACCATGGCGATTATGATGGTGATTGTGATGGTGGTGGTGACGGTGATGGGTGACGGTGGTGATGATGATGATTGTGTTGATGATGTTGATGCTGATCCTGATGACGAGGATGATGACGAGGATGATGATGAGGATGATGATGATGAGGATGATGAGGATGATGATGATGATGAGGATGATGAGGATTATGAGGAGGATGAAGATGAGAATGATGATGAGGAGGAGGAGGATGATGCTGATGATGATCAATGATGATGATGGAGGTTCGACGTGCCCAGAGTCCATCTGGTTTACATCTGCCTTTCGCTTTGTCTGCACCGAGACGCAAAGCCCCACCTCCAAAGGTGGCAGTTGTGCCTGGCAGTAATGGAGGAGCAGCGGCAGTCGTCGTGGTGGTCGTAGTCGTCGTAGCAATAGTCGTCGTCGTAGTAGTGGTAGCGGTGGTGGTAGTAGTGGCAATGGTGGTGGTGGTGGTGGTGGTGGTGGTGGTGGCAGTGGTGGTGGCAGTGGTGGCAGTGGTGGCAGTGGTGGCAGTGGTGGTAGTGGTGGCAGTGGTGGTAGTGGTGGTAGTGGTGGTAGTGTTGGAGTGGTAGTAGTGGGTAGTGGTAGCAAAGGTGGTAGTGCTAGTAGTGGTAGTGGTGGTAGTAGACGTATTGGTCCTAGCAATAGTCGCCGTCGCCGTA